TATAATTATAGAAAAAAAAAAGAATTGAGAATCCAGAAATCAGCCCCCAAAAAAAGAAATAAAAAGCAAATATATTATCAAGCTAATAAAGATTACTTTAAAAAAACTTGAAAGACACAAGTTAACGTAGATTTTAAAGACAGAAATTTAAAGACATCTTTTTTTTTTTTTTGCTAATTAATGTCCTTTAATCTGGGAGCCTTCTGGGCAGCCCTAGGCACTGTGGTCTGTACTCTTTGCCCATCCTGTGTCCACTGTAGGTCCCCATCATTGGCCCGAGGCCTCTGTCCTCCTATGTCTCTGCCGCAGACCCCTGGTCCCCCTTGGCCTTGGTCTTGAACTTCTCCCAGGGGTGGGGGGGTCTCCTCGGCTGGCATGCCTTTAAGCCACTGCTTGTAGTACGCTCGGAAGCCATCAATCTTCTCCAGGTAGGGGTTCTTCTCTTTGTACCGGTCGAAGGTGGGTGGGTACTGGGCAGCGAACTCCAGCTGGCGGATGACCACCTCGTTGACGGGGACGCTGTGGCACCGCATGTCCTTCAGGATGTGGATGAGGTAGGTGTAGTTGAGCCGCTTGACGGCTGCGTGGATGAGGGCGCCGCATGTCAGACAGCAGCTGCAGGCCGTCTGCCGCCTGCCGGCATCCGATGGCCAAATTACAGAAGGTCTGCAGGTTGGGGATGAGGCCTCTCTTGGCCAAGACCGGCAAAAGAGCCTTCGCCCCTTCCAGGTCTCCCAGCTTGCTCTTCTTCCTCATCAGCGTGTTGAAGAAGGTCACGTCCGCCTCCATGTGGTGTGCATCCAGGGTGGCCAGCAGCAAGGACTCCTCCGGGCTGCCGGACTCCACCACCTTGGCCAGCAGGGTCAGGGTCTTGATGTCAGGCTGTACCTCGTGCTCCGCCATCGGACCCATAAAGACATCTTTTGTGAAGTGCAACTCTGACAGAACTGTGTTTATTTTGCTTAAGATTTTTTTAAAAAATTATTAATTTCAATGAAAATTGACAGAGACTTTGGATTTCCATTCATTCATTGTTACACTCCCCGCCCGGTACAGTACCCTCTTGGAAAAGTAAAAGAAAAAATTCTTTCATTATTTTACAAACCCTCCCCCAGGTTCACTCCACTATGCAACCTTTGCTCTGGCCTCCTATCATGAAAGAAATACGTAATTACATATCACTTTTAAATAGTTTTCACCCATATCTGTTTCAATGCAGTAAACATTATTGAGCCCATCTTTCTCAGTCTCTCCCCAACCCCAAAGTCAGTCCTATTTTACAACAGTGGCACCATGCAGTATTTGTCCTTTTGTGACTGAGATGCTTCATAATGTCCTCCAGGGTCACCCATTCTGAATAAGATTGCATGAGTTCCTTGTTTTTCAATGCAGCATAGTATTCCATTGTGTGAATATACCACAGCTTCTCTATCCATTCGTTTGTTGATGGGCACCTGGGTTGTTTACAACTCCTTGCTATTGTGAACAAAGCGGCAATAAACATGGGTGTGCATATATCTGCTTGGATGTCAGTTATAGTCTCTTTGGGGTATATTCCCAGTAGTGTAATTGCTGGGTCAAGTGGTATCTCTATTTGCAACTTTTTGAGAAAGCTCCATACCACCTTCCACAGTGGTTGCACTATTTTACACTCCCACCAACTGTGAATAAGGGTTCCAGTTTCTCCACAACCTCGCCAGCATTTGTTGCTTGCTGTTTGGTTAAATTTTGCTATTTTGACTGGGGTGAGATGATATCTCATAGTTGTTTTGATTTGCATCTCTCTTAGAGCTAGGGATTTTGTACATTTCTTCATGTTAGCCATCTGAATGTCTTCTTTGGTGAAGTGTCTGTTCATATCCTATGCCCATTTTTCTACTGGATTATTTACCTTTATCTTGTTGTGGCACTCAAGAATTTTTTAAATTCTAGATATAAGTCCCTTATAGGACCAAATACAGTCTGTGGCTTCCCCTTTTACCCTGTTGGAGAAGTTTTTGGATGTGCATAGGGATTTGATTCTTAGACGATCCCATTCATCTATTTTATCTTCTCCTGGTTGTAGGTTTTTCAGCATACTTGGAAGACTATGTGGTGGATTAGGACTTCTAGAGTTCTTCCAATCTTTTCTTTAATGAAGCCTATAGTCCTTGGTCCATTTCCACCTTGAGTTGGTTTTTGTATATGGAGTGAGGTGTGGATCTTGCTCAAGTCTTTTGCAGATACTTTTCCAATTTTGCCAACACCATGTTAAAAAGGCTGTCATTTCCCTTCTTACCTGATTCCCTCTCCTTGTCAAAAATCAGTTGACCATAGATGGGATATGAAATATAAAATTTTAAAAGTTCAGCACTGTAAAGCATGATTAGTGCCAAGTGAAGTGTTTTCCATTACTAATGTCCAGTTTGTTGACTATAAGCAAAGTGCTCTATTTTACATAAACTAATCGTTTTTCTGGCTCAAAGTGTCCACCTTGCCAGCAATTCATGAAGAACTTACTCAATTTCTCTATAGACTTACCTGTATCAGGGACATCGGTAGGTCTCATGATTCTCCGAATTTGTTCCATTGACTGCAGGTCTGGTGACAGTCCTAAGAAGAAAACAGACCTTAGGTTGGTACTTTAAAATGTTTAGCATCAGACCAATAAAACAGTATTTTATCAAAGATGGTGGTTTCAAATGAAAGATACATAAAGCTTCCCTTTTAAAGTTATCTTAAAGGTCAACTAAAGGAATCCTGGTGTACAGTATTTAGTTAAACTGCTATCCAAAAGGTGAGTGGTTTGAATCTGCCTGCCATTCTGTGGGAGTGAGATGAGCAGTTTCCTTTAAAGGACCACTGAACTGGAATAGATTCAAGGGCAGCAGGTAATTTTGATGTTTTCAGCATTGTTCAATTTTGCCCATTTCATTTTTTATTAGATACCACTGAGTCAACGACTCACAGTGACCCTAAGAACCAGAGATCTGAAGCTTGCCCTACTCTGGGCCACCTTATCTGTTATGCTCATGCCCACTGTTAGTTGAAGTCACTTTGTTAATCTCGTTGAGGGTTTTCCTTTTTTTCCTGACCCTCTACTTTCCCCAGCTCAGGACAATGGGCAATGTTTCTGAAAACTTGCTGGAAGGTCAGTTATGAGTTGGTTCCAACTTGATAGCACCCAACACCACATGTGTATCAAGTGACATGCTCAACAACATACCAATATTTCATATGAAATTTCATATATTCAAATTTATTTCACAGGTCTTGTACCTATGTACCACCATACCAAAAAATTGTATCTAGGACTGTCGCAGATAAATACATAAAGCTCCCAAATTCAAAATGTGTGAATATTAAGTATAATTATATTAGGAATTTGATGTTACCAAAGATATTTATTATAATGAGGAAGATAATGATCCTCATTTTCCCTCTTTCTTTTTGTGTACCGTCAAATCAAATCCAACTGGCACAAGAGGAGATTGACCCCCCCACTCCAGTGGAGCATCTGGTGGATTCAAACAATCCTCATTTTTATAGATAGCAGTGTTATCTTTTTCATTAGACTTGAGGCAAAAAAGGATATTTTCCAAATAAAAGTCTAGCTATTTTTAAAAGGTGGTGTTGTTATGAACGAACCATCAAGGTGACTCTGACAGAGTGAACGTACATGCAACAGATTTAAAACCTGCCCATCCTGTGTGAGCCTGACAATCTCAGCTGCGCTAATAAGCTATTTAATGTTTAGTATTTATGAATAATTTAACATTTCTAGAAAGTTTTAACTATGCTTAAAAATTTTAATAACTAGAGTTTGCTCATAAGAATCAGTAGTTTGTTTTCTCACAGGAAACAAACTCATAGCTGGGTTCTAGACAGTGAAATTACAGTAGGAAAAATGCATAATAGTTTACCTCCATGACAACAGAAAATCTTCTCATCCACAATGGCAGCTATAGGCAGACAGTTAAAACAATCAGTGAAGGTCTTCCACAATTTAATATTAAACCTTCGTTTACCTATAAAAAGAATAAGCAGATAAATAAACAATAAATTACTTAAATATAAACTTTAATATATTAACCTACCCATGTATTACTTAGGACATAAATACATCTGAAAAATTGCAACCTTTGGAAAGACATAAGAGTCATTTTAGTTTTCTTGTTCCTGTTTCTCTAGTACTCTTTTTGCCCTCTATGAGTTACTTTACACCTCCTAAAAGGTTACAAGTATATATTCAGTCAAGCATAACGATTTCCAACAAATGTGCTATGTGTTTTATGAAAAGCACCAATTAATTGTCTTTTAACATTACTATAACATGGCAATTTTAAGATTACTAGATTACTTTTCTCACATGTATTATCTTTTTTAGGCAAGGAAAATACATCTTTCTCTAGCTGTTTGCCAATCACACTGTTTCTATTTCCCACTTTCCCCCACAGTACTTATTTGAAAGTACTATGCTATTTTTAAAAAACATTATCAGGTTTTATAATAACAACAACAACAAAACCAACAGTAACATTTATAGACAAAATACTTCCTGAAGGAAGGGAGTAACTAGAAAACAAGGTGGATATTATTTGAGTAAAAGCAAGAAAATACCTAGCCAAATAAGGAGATAGAAGTGAAAGGGATATCTCCAGAGACTCTTCATTTGACTCCACTCTACCGACTGACACTATAAACTTAATGCCAAGAAAGGAGAATTTCCAAGTGTTTAAATAAATGGTAAACACTTTTGAATGAATTATAACTTGGCACTAGAGCAAATATAAAGAGACACACAAAGGCTACAATTTTCCTGTGCTCTAGCATAAACTGGTACTATTAATAATGACAGCCTCAAGTATACGTTCACCTTTTTAGAGTTACTTGATCTTCCCGAATTTGGCACCATACTGCAGTATCTAACGCAAGGGAAGGAAGTAGGAGTGGTTCTGGAAACTCTTTATGAAGTTTGAGAAACATAATATCGAAAGGCTTCAGGTCTTTTGTTCATAGGATCACTATGAGTCATACTCCACTGGATGGCATTCAACAACAACAATGCAAGGGAGGATGAAAGGGACAAGTAGTAATTTTCCATGTCTCTGTACCACAGACTGCCTCTTTCAAGGAGTATGAATAACTCAAAGCAGCTTTATAAGCTGCTCTTACAAACATGATGATGTCAATTCTATCCTCAAGGAGACGGACTATTCATATCTAAATTTCATCATTTAAGAATAAATAAATCTGTTTCTGACATAGCTCTAGGCATGATTACAATTTAATATACTATAAGCCACTCTCAATTATTGATTCAAACACTGCACATTAGAAATAATGCAATGCAATACAAAATTAAAAACAGCATTCTCAATGTTTGCGGCAGTACTAGCTTTATCAACATCCTTATTAAATAGTTTTCCAATAATTAATTAATTATATGGATCAGGGAGGTATTCCAGAATTTGAATAGGACTATACTGGTGGCCTAGTTTTAAGAAGCCCTGTTGCAATCCCAAAGGTACGTGGTTGAAATCCCATTAGTCACTCCATAGGAGAAGGGTAAGCAATCTCCTCCCATGCCATTAACTGCCTATGAAAACCTGTCGGAGGGTCAGCTATGGGTTGGTTCTGACTCAACGGTAAACAACATACAATATATAGGTAGCTCTAGTGGCTTAGTGGTAAGGAATTATGCTGTCAATTCAAAAGTATGTGGCTAGATTCTACTAGCTACTCTGCAGGAGAAATAAGGGCATTCAACTCCTTTGTGATTTACTGGGTTTGAAAATCCATGGAAATGTCAGCTAGGGTCAGTTCTGACTTGATGGTTTCATCATCATCATCCAATATATAAAGATGGAGGGAAGAAAAGGCTTATTCTAATGGGAGATTTCTGTCTTGAAGAGGGTAAAATGAAGTTGCTCCGTCTCACATACTTTCGGCAGGTGGCCAAGAGGGACCAATCCTTGAAGAAGGACACCAAGCTCGGAAGGGTGGAAGGGACAGTGCAGGAGAGGAAGCCCCCAGACGAGATGGACTGATACAGTAACTGAGGCAATAGTGGCAGATGTGTTGGAATTAGTCAGACTGGCTCAGGCCAGGGTAGGTTTCAGAGCTGTTGTACATCGGGTTGCTATGAGTTGACGGCACATAACAACAACAAAAGGAGATTTTAAGTTGTCATTCAAAGTTGTAATGAATAAACGTCAACTTTCAATGTTTCACAAAAATTGTTCTGTGTTACAAGGTGGATAAGGTTTCCTGTCTACCAAGAAAATGTTGAGTGTTAAAACCTAAACGCATACCAGAAAGCCACAGGTCTTTATGTCTGCTTCACCAGAATATTTTTGCTTTGCAAACTAATTAAAAGAGGACCCTGTGAGCTGAATAAGCTGTTAAAACAAAAACAAAAAAGTGAAATTAGTCTGAAATAATCAGAAAGATCTCAAGGAATTAATGAGTAACATGTTTTTCCAGTTTCAGGTTCCCTGTTCATTTTGGAAAACATCAACTCTGAACTGAAGATATTCTTTAGAAGTGGGGAAAAAAATACTACAGCTTTTCCAAGTTTTCACTTTTACTTACATTCATCATAGAATCCATAAATGCGATTGATGCTAGCACACTCATGGTTTCCTCTTAAGAGAAAGAAGTTTTCTGGATATTTTATTTTATAAGCCAACAGCAAGCAAATAGTTTCCAGAGACTGCTTTCCTCGGTCCACATAATCTCCTAAGAAGAGATAGTTGGCTTCTGGCGGGAAACCTCCATATTCAAATAATCTCAGCAAATCTGTATACTGTCCATGAATATCTCCTGAAAGTAGAAAAATATACATTTTAGAAAATCTGGTTACTGTGATAGGTAGCTTTAATGAAACGCTTTCCTGTGTTCACATGCCCTTGAATAAGTCCTTTGTTGAGTATGAGCTGGACCTAGTGACTTGCTCCTAGAATACAACAAAACTGATGGGATTGTCACTCTTGAGATAAGGTAAAGAGGCTGTGACTTCCATATGGCCTTCAGGCCTACTCTGATGATGCCAGCTGCTCTACAGTGAAGTGCAGGTAGTAAAGAGCTGAACCCTTCCCCAGATGACCCTGGAGATGGATTGTTGCCAGCTGACACACTGTGACTGGCGCCTTTGGAAGGATGCAGAAGACCCAGCTCAAGCTGTATCCAGATTCTGGACCCAGAAAGTTTTGTTGTTACCCAGCAACAGATAACAAACACTATATTATTACATTTATATATGTGTAATCATTTAACCTGGGTCATCTTTTAGTTATACTGAATAGAAAAATAATTCCAAAAGTTGAGAAAATGTAACATACATTTCTAATGCACACTAGTCATTTCTATATTAAGTATTTTTGCAAAACTTTAAATCATTACAGTTGAGACTGATTATGAATAGCTAGCTTCATTTAAATTTATAGAAGGAAATAATTATTTCCATAAAACCTCAAACCTCTGAAAGGTGACACTGAGCTAATTTATTCATTCATTCATTCATTCATTCATTCAACCAATTTGCTCAGTTAATATCTCTTTATTTGCTATTTGTTGGACACTGTACCAAGAACACCAAGCACATGCTTTTCTAAACCACATGAAGGGAGAAGGGAAAAAAAAAGATTAAAAAGCACACCAAGTACCTGGTGTAAATGTGGACCATTACGAAACATATTTTTTTTAAAAAATAACAAAAACCAAAATAACCAACCACAAACAAAAAACCACATATTATTAAAACATCTTTGCAAATACTCCCTGATTGAACAAAATGGCTAATAAAGTACATAAGTTATGTCATTAACATTAGTAGCCAGGATGTAACCCCCCCCCCCGCATTATTTAAGTAAAACCCAGTATGCTACAGTATTTATCTCACATTTTCTGCTAGTTTCACATGAAGGAAAAAAAAACAACAACTACTTTCTATATAATAATCCTGTGACTACGAAGAGTGAACTTTGGATCTTAAATTTATGCTTATGGAGTGTAAAGTAATATAAGTATCAAAATAATAGAAGACAGACTTTCTAAATTACTTATTTCTATACATCTACAGATGTGTACTAAAAAGCCTGTTTTACCACATCCTTGACATAATGGTTAACAATCTTTGACATTTTTTGCAATTCAATTTTGAATGGAGGCCTATTTTAAATATAATTTCCTTGATTACCAGTAAGGCTGAGAACTTTATGCTTCTTGGCCATTTCACTTTGTTTCAGTATAGTACTTTTTACATGGGGAAGAGGGGTAAAGAATGAGTAGGGACAAAACCACAGGGGTGCACAGTCTGGTGGGTGGGAGGGTAGAGGGAAGTAAATGTGAAAAAGATAGGAGAGAAAAGACAAGGTAATGATGGACAAGGTCTAATGGTGAATAATTTTATAGAACATAATGCATGAGTATGATTGAAACACAATGTGAATGAAGAACAGTGTGAAAAACAATGTATACAAACTTTGTAAACCCCCCCCAAAAGAATTCTTTATATATTTTAAACAGCAATTTGTTGATACAGAAATTATTTATTATTTTAATGAAATCTTCAGTCTTATGTAATTTTATCTAAATAACCCATCCTCTTTTAAAAACTTTCCCTCCTGATCATCTCTATGCATACAAGAGAAGAACAATCCAAAGCAATTTAAAAGAAACTCTTTTCAACCATACTTATTTACATACCACAAATTTTCAGTGGTGCTTCCAATTCCAAAAGAATAGGTTGGCTGAGAAAGATCTCCCGAGACTTGATACATAAGCCCCGAACCTCTGCTTCAGTCATCTGCACAATCTTTCCTGGACGACATCCTCGTACTGTTAAAATATCAGTAAAATGGTCAATTTTCTTTAATTTGTCCATAAGATCATAATCCTTTAAAAAAGAATACCATTTTGAAGATTTGGTAAACAATGCAAGCAGTAAGCTACGAGATGTCTTGTTTTATGTTATGATTTATGATTTGTGGCTTCTCCCTTTCTCTACTGCTGCTGGTTCCAGATACTTCATTAGCCTGCTACCACCAAAATTCAGCCCGTATTCCTGATCTTTAGTGGCCACTTGGGGCCCAGGAGCTCCACAAACCCAAAATGTTTCAGGCCCAGAATCCTCAAGGGTTTGGCACAGTAAATAATATATCTAGCAGAAGACCAGAACAGCATTACAAAGAAGTGGCTATGAAGAGAGACTAATGTACAGCTGCTTTAAATAAGTAATTCCTTCAAACAGTGTTAGCTGTACAAAGAATTTTAACAACTATCATGTTCGTTTTCTGATCAAAATAAATAGTAAAAAGGTATTATAAATGCTTCTATTTTATATTTAATGCATTGTTATGTTTACAACAAAGTACAGTGTTCAAAACATTAAAGGCCATGTTGCTGTTATGTGCCATCAAGTCAGAAGTGACTTGTAGGCTCTCACAGCTTGTGAACTGCATGGACAGAGACTGCTCATCTTTTCTCCATGGAGTAGCTGGGTGCCTTTGGGCTAGCAGTGCAACTTCTTACCCACTAGGTAACCAGAGATGGAATAAATTCTTTTTAACATGAATGAGCTTTAAAAAAAATCTATACTCTATAGCTCCCTACAGGGTGGTATGGAATAATATATGGGAGAAACTTATCTTTCTTGCCCTATAATACTGTTGCTCTATATATATCTTTACCCTCACCACTGATACTTTCCCTTTAAAATTTTACATAGTCAGTCACCATTCTACCTTATCTGAAAGGGCATCAAAAAGATAAAAGAACAAAACCAGAGATTATTATTTTTATAAATGCCTAACACTTCTCACTTCTAAAACTTGCTTTGTCAGATCAGACAGGCTATTTTAAAAAAAAAAGTGAGCCCTGACCCCATACATAGCATTAGTGTAAATTCCAAAAATACTCATAACAATCTCTCAACATCTTTATGCCTGGAACATACTACCTGCCTGTAAAAGCAGATAAAAACACAAGCTCATAAACTTGTTTAAAAAAAAAGCATTAACTAAATTTCTTAGAAACTGGTATTTGATTTTCCCTATTCATTGCAGTTACAACCAACTTATAACTGAACCTATACTGCAGGAGCCAGAAATCATAAAAAGATGAAGGGGTACAGAGAGTCACCAAATATAATTAACCTGTTGTTGTTATGTGCCGTCAAGTTGCTTGCAACTCACAGCGACCCTATGTACAACAGCCCTAAACCCTGCTCTATTCTGTGCCAATCGCACTGCCTCTGACACACCCATCCCAATTACCCCAGTCACTGAATCAATCCACCTCATAGAGGGTCTTCCCCTCCTGCGCTGTCCCTACACTCTACCCAGCATGATGTCCCTCTCCAAGGACCTGTCCCTCCTTACAACATATCAAAAGTATGTCAGATGAAGCCTCAGAATCCTTGCCTCCAAGGAGTAGCCTGGTTTAACCCTCTCCAGGATGAATCTGTTTTCTTGGCAGTCCATGGTACATTCAATACTATTCTCCAGCACCACAGCTCAAAGGCATCAATTTCATGAAACAGCATATGATCAAGCAACGGTGAATGAATGGAAGGAATGAAGGAATGAAGGTGATGGAGAAGCTACTCTGAAGCAATCGGCAAAAAACAAAGCCCCAGGAATTGACGGCACACCAAGTGACATATGTCAACAAATAGACGCAGCTCTGGATGTGCTCAGCAAGTTGTGCTACGAAATGTGGAGGACAGCTACCTGCCAACAGACTGGAACAAATCCGTATTTATTTCCATTCCCAAAAAAAGGCTAGCCAACAGAGTGTGGAAATTATCATATCACATACAAGCAAAATTCTGATGAAAATTACTCAAAACCAATCAGAATACACTGACAGAATTCCCAGAACGAGAGACAATGCCAGCTGGATCTTGGCCAAAAGCAGAGTATCAGAGGAGTATCTATCTATGTTTGACTATGCAAAAGCATTTGACTGCATGGATCACAACAAATTGTAGCTAATATTGAGAAGAATGGGAGTCTCAGAACACTTGATTGTGTGCAGGCGAAACCTATACGTAGATCAGGAAGCAGTTGTATGAACAGAGCAAGGTAACACTACATGCTTCAAAAATCAAGAAAGGAGTGTGTGAGGGGTGTGTCTTTTCTCCACACCTTTTCAATCTATATGTGGAACAGATAATTCAAGAGGCTGGACTTTATGAAGAATAGTGGCATCAGGATCAGAGGAAGACTACCTACCTTATGCAGATGACACAACTTTGCTTGCTGCAACAGAGGAGGACCTGAGACATTTGCTGCAGGAGGTCAAGGACTGCAGTCTTCAATATGGATGGAAGCTCACATCAAGAAAACAAAGACTCTCACCACTGGGCCAATAGGCATTATCATGATAAATGGAGAAAAGATTTAGGTTGTTAATTTTATCTTGCTCAGTTCCACAATCAACACTCTTGCCACCAGCAGTCAGGAAATCAAAAGATGAATGAGCTGCGCTGGGACAATCTGCTGTCAAGGATCTTCCGAGAACTGCCAAGGCACAATGATGTCTAGAGACTAAGGGGCACCTGATCCAAGCCATGGCCTTCACAATTACTTGCTATGCATCTGGGAGCTGGATAACAACTAAGGATGACATAATAACTTTTGGTTGTAGTGTTGGAGAAGAGTACTGAACATACTGCGAACTACCAAGAGAACAAACAGGACTGTCCTCTCTAGGGTGAAACCTGGTTGCTGCTTGGAGGCAAAAATTGTAAAGCTTCATCTCACACACTTTGGGGATGTTGCCAGGAGTGATCAGTCCTTGGACAAGGGCATCATAGAAGGGGAAGATCCAGGGTGAAACTGGTTCAAGACAGGGTTCAAGAGGTACTGTTTATAGGGTTAGCATGAGTATTAATAAACTTGATGGCACAAAAAAATCCAACAAACTGGGTTTGCCAGGCTGTGCATGACTTGAGTGATGGACTTGAAATCCAGAGAGGCATGACCTTGGGGATAGCAGTGCAAGTCCCTACAGACTGCCAATAAAATCAATCAGCAATTTTTATGATTTTACTTATAATCAAGGAACCCAAGTGGTACAGTGGTTAAGAGCTTGGTTGCTAATGAAAAGGTGTGTAGTTTGAGATAAACAAAATAATTCCTTTCGAATCAGCCCCCAAAGTACCTCAACAGCTGCTGCATGGGATAAAAACGCAGCAACCACCTTCTATAATAGATTTCTAGATAGCTCTGGACACCTTAGGGAGCAGTTCCACTGTCCTACAGGGAGCTCTGGTGGCCTGGTTGTAAGAAGTTGCATTGCCAACCCAAAGCCATGTGGTGTAAACCCACTTGCTGCTCCTCAGGAAAGATGAGCTCCTCCTCCCTAGGATTTATAGCCTTTGAAAACCCACTGGATGGTCAGCTATAAGCTTGTTCTCACTTGACAGTACATAACAATGTAGGGGATGATATGACTTGAAATTGACTTGATGGTAGCTGGATGGTTTGGTTTAGACCAAGGTTTCAAACTTACTGGTTCATTTAGGTAGGAATTCCTACAGACAATCCACATTTCTACATAGATCTAGGGAGTTCTCACAACCCAGTCTGTAGAGAGTTATGCTGCTAACCCAAAGGCCATGTCTGTCCGGCAGCTGGAATCCATCATCAACCCTGACAGATAAAGAAGGGTTAATACTTCCTGTGCAAAAACAAACAAACAAAAAAAACTTCCTGTGCAATTTGCAGCATCAGAAAACCCCATGAAGGGTCAGCTATGAGTTGCCTCTGACTCAATGTCAATGAGTTTGGTTTCATCAGGGACTCTCCCTCCCTCTCGATCTAACCGAGCATCTTTCACTAAGTGTCAGGAATGCTTACGGAGCTTCATTTCCCTGTTGAGAAATACCTTGGAGCAGGTCTGGTTCCAGGCTACATTAAATACAGAATAAAGTGAGGCACGCAAATGACTTTTTGGGGTTTATTTTGTGAATATGAGTTACATTTTGACTATACTGTATGCATCATGAAAGAGTCAGAAATATTCAAGAACTCATTCACAGAAGCAAAAAGTTCTCCCAAAGGTTAAGTCTCTGTCAAATCTTAGGACTAAATTATCCAAATGCTTGGGAAAACAGGGTGATGTTACAGTCTTTCTACTTGTCTCTAAGAATATGCCAAATTTCTCTCAGTCACATTAAAAAAAGGGAACAAATTGCTATACATGATAACTTGATTATTACCAAAACTTTTCCAGGGATTCTGGGATTTGGGGTATTTAAGGCTAGGTATCATGTGTCTTAATGGATTAGGAAAATATTACATATCTGCATTCTTTACCAGGCAAAAAATTTTATACTGATTATCTCTTTAATCCTTTTGATAATCTCAGGAATTAGAAAGGGAAATTATAATCCCTACTGTACAATAGTAAAATAACCTGCATAAGATCATAAAGCATCCAGGTTTTAGAAGACAGCAGGTAGTAAAAAGGAGCAGAGTTTTTAGAACTCAAAAGGAGCCCTAGTTGCATGGTATGTATGTACCAGGCTGATAGTCCAAATCCACTAGCTGTTTTGCTACAGAAAAACGGATAGTCTCTTCATGTAAAGATTCACAGTGTTTGAACTGACTCGGCAGCAACCAGGTATTTAGAACTAGAGTCTTCTAAACTTGAGGGTCAAATTCTATTGCTGTTACGTGCTATTGAGTCACCTGTGACTTATAGTGACCCTATGTACAACAGCCCTAAACCCTGCTTTATTCTGTGCCAATCTCACCATCTCCAACACACCTACCCCACTACCCCAGTCACTGAATCAATCCACCTCATAAGAGGGTCTTCCTCTCTTGCAC